GCCTGGTAAGCAAGAAAAGATTTGGCTTATCAGATACAGAATCATTGTTGAGTTATTTCAAAACCGTTTTTTAAACCTTAAAATTCGGATTAACCAATCTCTCGTTTCACAACTTTGTGATTCTATGAACCTACTTAACTGCAGTTCTTTGAAACTTATCTAACAGCTATCTTTTTTCAGGTAAGATCTAACTAAACATGTAAAATACACGAATTTTTATCAGATGAACATGAAATAGTACTGGGCTCAAACCACACAATCCTCAAAGCTGAAAATGAAACAACTGATAAAATGGATACCCAACATTTAACGCGGAGAAAACCCAGCGATGGAGAAGGCGAGAACAATGGATTGAATTGACTCGAATTCATCAGGTGGCATGGCTCGGCCTTGCAGGCGTGGTCATTCTTGAGTGTTGTCATGTACTTTTTACTCATATTAAATATATTGTTCTACCTCAAGCCTAAGTGTTTTCATCATACATTGATGATTGCTACGATGCAATGAGTTGATGTAGATAGTGTGACTTCCATGTAAGACCTTATAGATTAGGAAGTCCAATCGTGACAAATCTACAATCTCGGTATCACGTCTTTATTTTAGAAGCAAAGATAAATTCACTTAGTACCGACCTAGACAACAACTTTACTTTGTGAGACCGACCAAAGCAACTCAATCGGTCATTAATTTTAATACTTACTTCAAATCTGTCGATCGACATTCAATCTGTTGACTAGTGCCCATATGCAAAGTCATATCATAATGTTAATAATCATCTTAACTTGTTCATTCATCTGAATAACGATAGTTCAACATCATTCAATGTGAATGCTTCTCTGAGTAGCAGAAAAAGTCAATAATTTTCAATGTCACTAAAATACGGTGTTTTCATTGCTTTGCAATGTATATTAAAAATTTATTTTCATTCAGTTTATTTCGCCAAAGACCACGAAGAATATTTCGCACGACGCTCAGATGTGTAAATTATTATTATCTACCTACATAATCGTATTCTGCACTAGTGACAACGAAACTGTCCTTATATCACCGTAGTGTTATGTAGATTTCTAGCCAATTTTCATTTTGTAGAGTTATCAATCGTTTGTAAAATCAAAGAATTTGTGAACTGCATACTATTTAGGCATATTTTATCTCCATCCTGTCAGGTACACTATTATCTATTGTATGAATGTGCAAAATTTGTGTCCACGCCGGTACTAGAGCACATATATATGTTGCTTTAATAATATACCTAATCTAATATTGTGACATTGCTGTGATGAGACTACCTAATCAGTAAAACCTCATTGTGAAGTCGTTTCATCGTACATACTAACTCTTTCTATCGTGATGGTCAGTAATGTTTGAGATGACTTTTGTTGAACACGTTTAAGCTAATGATAGAGTAATATTTGTATAGTGATCGAGTAGTTACATAAAGTGATCGGGACTACATGAACGAGTCATGACATCATTATTAAAAATATCTCGTTGTTCACTTATTTTGACATTCTTCAGGTGGTGCCAAGTGGTTTGTTCTTGTGAGGCCAAAGTCACATGAAGGTGGTTCTCAAGAGAGAAAAGGCAGGTTTCACATCTCCTAGAAATCAGAAGGACGTGGCCCTGGTATGTAAAATGTTTGTTCCGAAGCTCCCACACTGCGATTTTGCCACAACTTAGGTTGACTGGATAAGAGTTGACCGCACACTTCTAAGTAAATGTCAAAGCACTAAACTCAAGTATTCGTTCACTTCCTTATTTTATATAGGGATCATGCTTCCTATTGTTTTATACTGAATGCTGAACAGCTTTGTGTGTTTGGAAAGGTAACCTGGCGATTCCCTTCAACTTTCAGGATTTAAAAACAGAGACCTGTTCACTATTAGCCTGATTCTTTCTATGGTTAGAACGAGTAGTAACAAAAGGCACTAAAACTTTACCGCAATTTCGATCCGGATACTTTGGATCTTCAGGTTACCTGTTTAAGCACACAAAGTCCTTCAACACCTTGTGGACTGTCCGAGGTTGTACTCATGCCATTCAGCCTGAGGAACACGACACAAGCATTTCAAAGAAATATGGATAATCTTCGGAATATGCCATTTGCACGGGGGAATACAGACGACTTGTTAATTGCCAGTCCGGATTTAAAACCCCACAAACATCATGTGAGAGCAGTGTTAAAACAACTGAGTGAAAAGGAATGAACATACACCGAAGTGTGTTTTCCCTGTTCAAGCCCTAGTATTTCCCGGACACAGAATAAGCGCAGTAGGGATTACACTGATCGAAAAACTGGACACCATTAGACAATACCCACTACCAAGTGCTCTAACACAACTTAGAAGTCTTCTAGGTCTAATTAACTTTTATCAAAGATTCACACTTGGTTGTGCACAATTAATGCAGTCTATGACAGATTCCCTTAAAGAAAGCAGACTAGTAGCGGAAAGGTTTTTTCTTTAGATCGTGATGCAGGATAAAGTGGAAAGTCAGGTTACCTGTTTAAACATACAAATCTTTTTAAAGTTCAATATCAGGTAATAGAAACTATAATACCTATACAGAATACGAAAGTGAACGAATACTTGAGCTCTATTGTTTTGACAAATGCTTTAGTTGTCTGATTTTGGCTCTTACCTAGTCAACCTAAGTTGCCACAAACTAAAAATTTGGAGGGGGCCACTGATGAATATAACCAAAATTATTGCATGTAGCAAACGCTTATGATAGCATACTATCTTTTTCATAAGACTCATTTTGTTTTAGGAACACAAGCAACCTCATACCACGCGTATTCAGGGTTTAACGACGCTCTTGTCTGAGACACCTCTATAATCAAGTAGTACTAAACTATTCAAGTTAGAAGTCAGAAAATAAATAGGTCTGAAAATATATTTGGAAAGCTGTCGATATGTTAAAAAACGTTTGATCCAAACCGGTTGGTAGTTGCGGACTGCACATAGCACAACGTACATACTCCTCATTTGGTGCGGATGCCTGACCGAGCGCCTTCAGCTGGGGATGGTCCGGTAAAACTGATGAGGTCAGAGTCAATATCAAAGACTTGCAGAGCCATTTAATCTCGAAATTTAGTCATGGCTTAAAGAAGGATTTAAACGAACCCCATTCACTTTATTCGCATCGTAATCACCTAGTGGTTTTTTGAAACAGGTTGCCGGTGTATCTGCAGATTAATACGGGATAAAAACATCAATAATGACTAAATAGAACCTCATATTATTTATTGAGCTCATAGATAAATAAGTAACCAATAACTTAATCAATATTCGCATCAGCAGTCTAAGGCGTGGGGCATTATTCATTTAGTACCTGAAAAACTACCTAGACCCCATTTTTCGATTTTAGAATCATATATGTTATTTACTTAGGTGTTTTAAGTTGTCGTGTTGTGGCTGTAGAATAACAATGAACTCTAGACACAAAATCCCACCAACCAAGTGCGCTCTATTTCAAAATTTTTACCTTTGGTCGTCGGGCGATGAATGAAAAGTAATGAGGGTCGACAAAAAGTGAGCGAGGAACATTTTCGAGACTGCTTGTCTCGGCCATGAGGCATGATTAGTTAACTCAACTTCCTTCTTCAGACTAAATATATAGTCTCATTGTTTAGCTTTCATTCCCTCCTCAGAGTTCCTCATGAAAAAGCACTCTAAATGTCGCGTAGGACAAGACAATACAAACCATTGTGTGACCTTGAAGTAAGATCGCATAAATCACTCAGTTATATTGCGGCCAGTCAACTATGTTCTATTACGTTTATAAGCCTTGTAGCGTAATTAAGTTAATCAGTATATATAATATACTGCATGCTTCATCGTTTTTCGTGCAAAATTAGTCTGTCAAAGCGAATGATACGTGAGAACAAATCTAGTTTGATGTAGTCTCTCTGGCTCTAGGTAACTGTATATGGAGTTAAATTGCAAATTGTCATTGTTGAGTGATAATGGTTTCGTAAAGCAGCAAATAAGTCAAAATTAGCGGAGGTTGTGAAGCTAAGTAAAGCCATGTTTAACTAAATAGCAACTCTGGAAATGTGGTAGCTCACATACAAGCAATTAGATATTCTCAGTCCAAATTCAGTAGGCCTCTGAAATTATAGTTATATTAGTTCCTAACCACTAGACCTTTGAAGCTGAGCGTAAAATTGATGAGGAGCTTTACACTCAACATATAACACTAAGGGAAGGTCAACAGTAGGGAACGCGGCAACAGTGAGTTGAAATGTCATGTTTAGGTCATGCAGGTGTGGTCACACCATATAAATTCTTGTATTCTGTATCAAATGTATTACTCTTTTCTTAGTTCATATGTGTTCTTCAGCAACTCTAGGCGTCATGTTGCTGACGATCATGATTGGACGAGTCAGTATAGACTGCAATGAGGCATCTACGTAAGACCTTGTAGTGGCATTAGAATCTAACCACACTTCCTTCGAATAGAATATGATAAGGATTTATCATGTCCTTCAGAGTCCTATCTACCCAAATAGAAGAAGTAGATCAAACACAGTATTTCAGTGATAATTCGCACTTAAGAGGATACAGACATATGATAGAACATGAAAGAGCTCGCACTAAACCACATGAGAAATTCAGTTACTTGTGCTACACCATGCCTAAAGCTATAGCGGTGAAACCCTCTGTTAAGTCTTTAGAAAGGAGTTTCGTTGATTACCTAGGCTATGAAAGTACTTTGGATGGACTACTTTATATGTTACGCCACAAACAATTATGTTAAACAATAAATTGTTTTTCATTTCAACTGAATACCTCTCTATAACAAAGTGTGGTTTTCAGTTATTAAGAACTATATCCTAAAGCATAGATATTCGACTAATTCTATAAAAAAATTAGGAAAAAAAAAGTTTTACAATCTCACCAATACGTTTCCTTTAGAAAAACCATATATATTATAAATCAACTGCCTCTAGACATGATCACACCAATCGATATTCACAATTTTACGGGAAGTTTATTCTACTGTTGAGCACGCACTTATTTTTAAAAGCCATCATGAGTCATCTTGTTTAAGTGGCATTTTTACTTTATCAGAGCGGGCAGTTTGTTTTTACGTACTTTTCGAGGTAACTTGTCTTATGCGCTTCGTGTTCTCTTTTCGGTTTGACTCTGAGTTTCTTTATGCTTAGTGTGTGTTTTCACTTGCACCAGTAAAATATCCTCTTCTCAAAGCATGCCTCTAAAGCATATTTTGTTCAAATGGCCTAGTCATTATACACATTAGTTTTAGGCAGGTTTGACCAGGTTCTCGATAATTTGGTGATATGTAATTTTGTGGTTATTTACAGACTGAGTTACTAGCACTTTGGTGAGTTAAAGGAGTCTCCATAATCACTGCTGGTTTGTCCATGGAGTAAACTGTTATTAGTATGGGTGAATCAATCAGATTTGAGTTCACATTCTAGGTTTCGGCCCAAAAATCAGTCGTCCATGTGGCTGAATTGTACTTTTGCATTTTTGCTGATGCCAGTTTTTGATGAAGCTTTTATCCTATTTGCCTTAATTCTGACGTTCAACTGTAAATCCAAATCTTAGTTCCTCACACATTCCTAACCTTCACATCTTCCTATGAAGTAGGTTGACAATCTCAGGGTCAGGATACCGTTCCTAATTCTCAACATGGTTTGTGATTTAGTTCGTAAACCAAGTTTGGTTGCTTAACCTAGAACAGAGCAATCCCAAAGAGCGTTCAAAACCACTGTTGCCCATGCTACTAAAAGGATATCTTTTATGATTGCAAAAAGCTGTTAGCTTTCTCTTTCCTATAAAATCAACTCATGACGCGAGCTTGTCAGGCTCAGTAATTACAAAACAGACATACTTGGTTAGTACTAGGCAGATTGTACGCGAAACAAATCCAGGTGATACTATAATTTATGGACGTACCAGTCAGATTTACGACCTCAGGCCTTGGATTTCGGAGCAAAATTCTTTATCCATATGCATAAATAGCGCATGTTGCAATTTAACTGATGTCAGGTCGTGATGAAAACCTTAAATCTAATCCCTTTCCCTAACCACCAACTGTAAATCACAATCCCACGGGACTTTTTTGGACGACCTTTATATGAATTTTAAGTGACCTTGAGAAATATTAGCCAAACAGAAGTATAAAGTAAAAATATATAAAAAACCCAGGAATTACAGTGGATGTTCTTCTTTTACATGATTTATAAACTTGTTAAGGTTATATAAAGGTTCAGAAGTTTTGAAATCATAATGCATGCGGTATGGGAACTCGTCCATATGGCTCGTCCTCTGGAGCCATGGTAGGGTCTTAAAAATTCCTTCAGCCTAGACCATATGGCTTCAATATTGTTTGTATGAACCCCCGTCGGATCGACAAAATGGCATTTGTGCACTACAACATGATGCACAAACCCGAATCTCTGGAGGCATCTATAGGCTTTCCAATCATCAGTATAGATCGTGGTGCCAGGCTGGACGTACTCCTTTATGACTGGTATTATTGTCGTTGCCTGACGGTTTCTCACTCTTTGAAAATGTTCCTTTTGGGTTGAACGATCATAAAATCCAAGTACCTGTCAAGTATATTTACGGGAGTGCTACTTACCCAATCTTCCTTGATAAGACGGCCTTTGTTGTATTTTCGCTTTCTAACTACTGTCTCATCTATTTCCACTATTCTTCCGACTCCTCCAAATAATTCATGTAGTCGTATCATGTTTATTGCACATATATCACGGCAATATTCGTATTACTGAACGGCTGAAACTTCCGTAACATCTGCAAAAGCCGCAGCTAATGTTACTGGAGACTTTATGATCCAATTTGCAACAATTATCATGATTTGTCTTAGTGTGAGTCGTGATCGAGCAAAGAAAGTACCAGTTCGAGCAGATATTTTCCTCCAACATATAGGACAAAGAAATACAATTTCATCACGGTGGTCTTCACATCGTGCTGCAGTCATTTGATCGCCGCAGTCACAGATACAGGAACTTCTGAAAAGTCCCATCTGTTAGCTCGCGAGACTATAATTTATTAACGAGCCAATCAGAAGCGTTCTAGGTATGTCAAGGTCACGGCACTAGGTTCAATACGTCCACTCTCTTAATTCCTGTTCAACTTTGTCGTCGACATAATTTCAAAGATAACACTTTACTCGTCTTGATTTCCAGGGGTTGAACTTCTACCGGGAGGTTCACTTGACTTAGAATATGGCGATGACATAGTTCTATTTGGTGAAGACACTGACAAAATTCAGTCTTCTAATCACTAAGCAACAATGCATGCAGGTTTGGGGGGCGATTCTCCCCCTCAAATTGCAAAATGCTGCTTCAGGATTGGGTCGCATTGACACCCGAACTAATGATAGGAAGTGAAGTAATTGAGTGTGTCGACCGCTTCACTTGTCTGGGAAGTCTCATCAGCCATTGTGGTCTGGTGTGTGACGAAATCTCAGCACGGATACAGAAGGCTTGACTAGCTTTTGCCAACTTGCGTCATTTATGACGTAGGCGAGATATCCGTCTATCAACCGAAGGAAGTGTTTACTGCGCAGCAGTTCGTTCCGTCCTACTTTATGGCTGTGAAACATGGCCGGTAAGAGTGGAGGATATCCGTAGGTTACTAGCATTTGATCAAAGGTGTCTTCGAAATATTGCTCGTATATCCTGGGACCATCGAGTAAGTAATCCAGTTGTTAGGAAACGGGTACTAGGTAAGGATGGCAAATCAATTGATGACGTAGTGAAACTTCATCAGCTGAAATGGCTGGAACATGTGTTACGTATGCCCAACCACCGACTGCCTCGATGCGCGATGTTTTGTTGTATAGGAGTAGATTGGAAGAAAGCTAGGGGCGGCCATACCAAAATATGGCACAAGTCCATGAAGTCACTGACAAGTAGCCTGAGTCATATTGGTAGGTGTAGACTACCTGGTTAGGAACCGCGAGACGATGGTTAGAGACCTTAAATGACATGGCTCAAAATCATTTGCAATGGCTCAGGTGCATCCACTCTTTGTGTTCTCCCAAATTCTAATCTTCTGAATTCTTCATGTCCCTTTGTGTTAGCGGGACAGACTAGATTAAAGCATGCTCAATGCATGATTGCTTTGGTGCACGCTGATTGGCTAATTCTTATCCAATCAGCACTAGTCGATAGTCGGAGAATACTCTGGAATCTTCTTATGTAAAAACTATAAATATACTGACGTTTTCCCTATTGTGCTTCTGACTTCCATCTAACCTTGTTATTTGGAATATAATCTCTTCCTGTTCAACCGTGTTTTGATTTGGGGACTTGTCGAGTGAATCGGTGTCCGAGAATACTAAGCAATGGGAATAGCTGGGTTATAACCGTAAGAAAAGAGAGAGAGTTATAACAGTGGCGACGGGAAAAAAGGAAAACAAATTCAAAACGCCCATATCATATGACCAGCTTAACCGAATACTACAACAACAGCAAGCACAACTTTATGCACAAATGCGGTTGTTGGAGACTCTGACTCAACAGCTCAACATCCACAGCTCGAGTTCACATGCTATTTCAAGTACGTCTTGTGATGCAGTTGCTAGCAGCATCTTAGAATTCATCTATGATCCCGAAAGTGGAATTACTTTTTTCACGTGGTTCAAACGTTGGGAAGATACATTTAGAACAGAATTCTGTAACCAAGACGATGCGTGGAAGACCCGATTGTTGGTACGTAAGTTGGGAAGCAATGAACATGCACGTTTTGCTGACCATATATTGCCAAAGTTACCTCGAGAGCTCAGTTTCGAGGAGACGGTATTTCAGTTGTCAGAGATATTCGGCAAGTCACCCTCGTTGTTTAGTATTCGATATCGGTTTCTAAATTTGGTGAAACGCGAAGCCGATGAATATGGTGTTCTAGCAGACATCGTCAACAGAGAATGTGAACGTTTCAAGTTACGCTCGTTGACTGATGACCAATTTAAATGCTTAATATTCATCAAAGCTCTTCAGTTACCACAAGATGCTGAGATCAGGACTAGACTTTTAGCTCGACTGGATCAAGACCCAAACGTCACACTCAGAACATTGACAGATGAGTGTAAGCGTCTACAAACCATCAGACACGACAACGAGTTGATTGAACAGGTAAATCCTAATTTAACCTGCGGTAGTGTAAATACTATTACTAGGTTAAAAGTTCAGAAGCCGGTAACAACTCGTAACAAACCAAGGACTGCATGCCGGTTATGCGGTGTTTGGCATTATGCACGGTTCTGTCCGTTCAAGAAGCATAAATGTCAGGCGTGCAACAAACGTGGACATAAAGAAGGTCATTGTCCACCGAAGCGTACGCCTCAGCCTAAGAAGAAGCATAAACGTCCTCGACATGTGAAATCTGCCGAGTCCAAATCTCTTTCTTTGGTAGCTGCCTTTCAAACAAACTATGACATTCAGAGAAAGTATGTTACCATCCAGATAAACGGCATATCAGCTCGTCTTCAAATTGACACGGCATCAGATATCACGTTAGTGTCTAGAGAAACGTATAACTTGCTGGGTAAACTGCCAATGAAGCCATCTAAGAAAACGGCTAAAAACGCATCAGGTGGTGTGCTAAAACTGGTTGGTGAATTACAATGTGAATTTTCCTTCAATGGAACTAACTGTACAGGAATATGTTACCTAACAGAACGGCCGAACCTTGATCTTCTTGGTCTAGATATGTTAGACAAACTTGGAATAATGGATGTACCAATTAGCAGTGTCTGTAACGTATCACTTTCATCACTGGACACCCCAGTACTTCCAAAAAAGACAGGTGATAGGTTACTAGGAAAACCGAAAAGAAAAATACGAACACATTTCGATGTCATCCGCCCTACACCAGCTATTGAACCCCAACGAAACCTATCGATGGAGAATCAGTTCAATCGACATCATGGGGCACAAAGACGATTGTTCACAGTGGGACAAAAAGTACTTGCTATGGACTATCGTGGGAAACATCCTACATGGACAGCTGGTCGGATCTTGAAAAAGAAGGGGAGTGTGGTTTACGAGGTGTCAGTTGGCTCGGAAGTTTGGGTACGTCATGCTAACCAATTGAAAGCAACTTCGATAGCCAGCAACAAGATTCAATATCGATTACCTCTTGATGTTCTGCTAGACACCTTTGAAATCAAAACGCCGGGAATAGACACGTCAGTTTCTATGCAAGAGAAGAGTGATGCTTCTCTCTTGCCTAGACGATGGACTAATCGAAAGCACAGACCAGTCACTCGGTTGCAGTTGGACCCTAGCACCAGATCCTACGAATCTGATCAAAGGGGAGGTGTTAGCGGGACATAGACTAGATTAAAGCATGCTCAATGCATGATTGCTTTGGTGCACGCTGATTGGCTAATTCTTATCCAATCAGCACTAGTCGATAGTCGGAGAATACTCTGGAATCTTCTTATGTAAAAACTATAAATATACTGACGTTTTCCCTATTGTGCTTCTGACTTCCATCTAACCTTGTTATTTGGAATATAATCTCTTCCTGTTCAACCGTGTTTTGATTTGGGGACTTGTCGAGTGAATCGGTGTCCGAGAATACTAAGCAATGGGAATAGCTGGGTTATAACCGTAAGAAAAGAGATTATAACACTTTCTTTTTTCTCTTTCCAAATTTATTTCACTGGATTATACTCTTTGAATAACATCTTCAAACCCTAATCTTTCCGATGACTGCTTATAATTTTACTACATCTAGGACTACGGGATTTGAATCGACCACTGCATCTCTGTGCTAATGTGGTGTGGCAACTAGAACTGATGTACGAATGTACGAAGTTCTACGTTGTTCCTGACTGACTGTACACTTTAATAGTTGTAGTAAACTGTCGGTGTTGATTTTACGTTGTAGCAATCAGTTTGAGTTTGTAGTGTTAGGCTAATCTTAGTACAGGACAAAAGTTGAACTACACTATAGGGTTGGAGTCTTGGCAACACTGAAAGCTCACGAATCACTACTTATGAACATTCACTAGGGTTCGGGAAAAAATATACGAAAAGTAATTTTTTTCCTTGAAGAGGCTAGGGCTAAAATGTTGGGACTATTTCAATTTTAACCATTGAGATTACTTCACGTGTAATTTCACATCTAATGCATTAAGGATTCAGCTTCAATTTATCTGTATCATTTGCAGGAATACCTAGCATTCTGTGGTCATAAAAACGTTTAGATGACTAACAAGTGGTTTATTTCATATATCTGACAATCCTTACACTTATCTAACGGTATTTACAACCGTAATTTCTATCTTAAAGATATATTGGATTTTCATTTTTTCTTGCGATAAACGGTATTAATTTTCACATCAAAACGTTGGTTTCTATTGCTTCACAGGAAATGTTTGAGATGTACTAAACATGGCTAAAATTTCCAACCGTAAACTACCAAAAAATGTCCATTCATCTCTTGAGTGGAATTTTCAGAATAACGATCCAAACTCTTCCAGCGATTCATCTTGGTCTTGGTCGGATGTCTATAGATATCAAAGAAACAACAATGCTCAAGACAACCGTGTTAAAGTCGTAGTGTCTGTGGAACAAACTTTGTATGATGTCGCTGAACTGCTTGAAAGGAGACTAGGGATTTGTCTTTCTGGCTGCCAGTTTTATCTTCAAGATCGAATCAAGGTAAATCCCTTTGCAAGCTATTTTATGTTTTAGCTTCGTGGGGAATCGCCCCTGGTTGAACATTGTGTTGAAATATCCGGTTTAGTTCAGCTATTACTTGAGGTAAAAACAGCACATGCAGGCTATCCATTTCGACTCAATGTTGTCGATATTCAAATCCCAGAATCGGTTGATCATCATGGACCTAACTCTACTATACCAACCGAAAAAAGCAAACGTCCTGGTATCGCAAAAGGACCAGGACAACAGGTGAGATCTTAGTCTTAGTATTTATTGTTATTTATACCTCCATATTGTCATATATACTCGTTCTGAGTTGTGTATCCTGATCTGTGCCAGGGAAGTCCTACTCACTGCCTTCTCGTTTCGGGCGTGTTGTCTACAAAAAGGAGAGGACGAAAAGCGAATGTCCGGCGCTCTAACCGGATTCCAGACCAACGGTGCACATGGGCTTCAGTATCCTGAGGGAACAAATGGCGTATGAACCAATTGTTGGTCACCGTCTACGATGCTCCACTGCCTTGTGGATCAGACCTTCAGGTCGAAGGCTCGGGGAGTGGCCCCCTAAGAAAACCACCTGCTTCGGTCTGGACACCCGGGCAGTATCACAGCCCTCACACATATCGAATGAAATTTGTGTGGCGCATATGTATTTGGTGCCTCCTTGTACCAATATCTATGTGTTAAAATAAATAAATGAATAAATAATCCGTGCTATTGGTATATATTCATGATTCATCGTCTATCATTTGGATTTCCTCAAGTGGAGATATAAACTAAATAATCTACCTATAATCTGGATCAAAAAGTTCATTTTCGGTAGATGTCTCAAAACCTTCAATCTTTGACATTTATTTTAAGCGCATAAGTTCTGGTGCAATGGAGCACCAAAAAGTGTTCTATGAGAATGAACCAATAACGTTTTGGACAAATAATGAAGGAAAAGATAGTACATTTAATAAAGAAATGAATGGAAGTAGCATTTAATGACAGTTCGGTTAAAGGTACGATCAAAAAGACCTTTCAGTTAAGTAAGGTCATCTCATTTTTACGGATAATGTAATATTAAACTACAACAGGATAGTCCCCGACTTCCGTAATTAGTTGGATAGAAAGAGGAAGAGCGGACTGCCTGTCATCGACCGTACCACGACACTTCGACATTTTTCAGAATTAGTGACTTATTTCAGCTAGTATGCTATTTGCGTGATATGCAGTTAGGAAAATTCTAAAAAAATTTTTCTTCACTATGTTCCTTATCCAAAGTAGTCATACACAATTATCACAAGAAGTTGGTTTTCATCTGATTAAGCTATGAAATTTCCCACATCTTTCTATCGGCTTTTTTCAGATATCCAGTGTAAATTCGGTAAAAAACGAGGAATCAAGGAATGATAGTGCTCTTTCAAGTTCTAACAGACCAATAAGTCCAAAACCCGAATGTATATCCCCTCTCACTGTTGCCGCAGCTGTGGCAGCGGCAGCTGATATTGCATCAGGAGGGTCTGGCTTATTGGAATCACAGCCTTCTCTTAATGAAAATGGTATGGTCTCAGATGAATCCGTTATTCCAGAAGCATGCAATATTCTTGATATACACTCATCGCAAAATCCTTATTTAGGATCCCAGTTGGAACCTGGTGGAGTTCCTGGAGCTTACGACTTAGAAAGCTTATCAAGATGGGTTCCTGATGGTCACTATCGACGTTTAATGGAAATGAATGATATTCCACGTGATCCTATTGAGTGGAATTCGACACAGGTAAGTGCATTTTTATCTTAAGTTGTTTCAATTCAACCTACCGAGTCTGGTTTCAACATTCAGGTTTTCAAGTTGACTTACAACCTGGCGTTTCAATTTTGTTGCAATATTTATGATCTTATTTTGTTTCAAGACAGGTTGATAGATCTACTTGTTGAATTAAGCGTTCATCATTCCCATATGGTTGTATTCTCCAATTAAAAGAAGTTTTATGAACGAAGAATATTTTCAATGATTTTTCATCAGGTTCTACAATTATAAATCCAAATTAATAATCCATAAAATGGGCCATATTTAAGGCAGAGTACATCATTTGGAAATTGTAATATGTGAATTGATAATTGTTGTTTGTTATATAGAATCGATTCAGATCGTTAATGTTGGGGCTGTTTAATATAAGGTGTTAACTTGAATCAGTTTATAAGCGAAATGAAATTGTACGATAAATGATCAGAATAAATATGGTCAATATGGGGTGAGAGAGAAAATAATGGAATAAAAATCGGAAATTACGTAATATGTAGAATAATATGAATTAGGTCAGATATAGTAGATTTAGGGGTGGATATTGAATAAATTCCTCAAAAGGTTATCAAGTGTAAAGATAATAATAATAATAATAATAATAATAATAATAATAATAATAATAATAATAATAGCAACACTCATCGTAACCCCCTCTGTTTTGACGGATACTTTGATGATCCCGGACCTATGAGATTCACAGTTGATTGATCACTGAATGGTGGTCAATGTCATGTGTGTCAGGTCCGTCTTAGTGCAGATCGAATCCTATCGATGTGGCCACCAGTCTAGGTGAATTGGCATTGCATGCACTATGTTAAGATAAGATGGTGGTTAGAGGTGGTCAGCAAGAAACTATGAACCTGTATCCATGAGATTCCAACCCGTTAAGTGAATTACGTGCTTCTTTGGACAGCATCAGAGCAACTCCCTGAGTATGTGGAGCATTTTTCTCTTCGTGACCAAAGTATAACAGCATCTCTCCCTAATTTCTCCTTTTCTGTTCAGCTTGGGTCTATTGGGTTTCACTGCTTCCGAGCACCACCAAGTTGTGTCTCCTCATTTCTTCAGCTATTTGATTGGTCCTCCCGGTCCCCCACATTGTCTGAACATTCAAAGTACCCATATTAATTGTTGCTTTGAGGGCATCGGCCTCGTGACCTGTGAAGAACCCCAGCTCTGACCATAAGGTGTCATTGTAGGAAGCAATTTCGTACAGATTCAACTCTAAGATAATCTCTAGACTGTCGAGTACAGAGTCTTGGTTTGGTCAAAGTCAGAACAAGTAAGTTATTTGGCTATATAAACTTTATCTTTTTCTAAAACATAAATTTACATCGTTAGTGTACAAACAAAAAGTACGGTCTATTAATACAGGGAAAAGCAGAGACAAATAACGTACGGAACAGTGGCCAGAGAATAGGAAAAATGAGTCAACAAGCCAATGTTGTTTTACAATGAACATTAAACTGTGATTGGTTAATGAAGAGATACAGTCGTACAAGGTCAAAAGGAGTTGATGTGGTGGTGGGCGTTTCCCTTATTATTGGTGGGTTCGTCTATCAATCACATTTTACAGTCATAATTCTTCTAAATGAAGATCCTTGAACTCGGAGGACAGAGTTTAAATGGTATAAATGGTTCTTTCTGTTTAGCGTTATTTAGCAAGGTAGTTTTCTACGGGATGGGGTTGTTGACCCTATGCCCAGCCGTCCTCCTTTACCAGGACTTGGGACCGGCAGTAGCCCCAAAAGAGCTACTGGCTGAGTTTTTATTCTAATACATTATGGTATTATTGACAGATGTTGGTGTACTTACCACTTCTTTAGGTCTCTACGATTTTGAGTGACCAGAAAATTGATTAGACCTTCATCACATAGTCGTTGCATGTCACATCTGAAGTATCGATTGGCTTCAAACTACAAAAGTAATCATTCATTCATTATCAACGTAGGGCCTGGCACAGATGTGAGGTGTTACAAGTTACTATCATATTAGTACGACTAAACGAATGGCAGAAGAGATCGAAATAATGTTTTAGCAATGACATGGAGAAAGACTAAAAATTGAGAATATAGCTCAAAAAGACAATGGAAGGGTGTGTATCAAGGGATATTAGGATTCAAGATCAAGAGAAAGACACATGCATATGAACCATTATGAACTATTCCGAGCTGTATCACCATAAATATCCAGTCGCAGATCGTAGTTGTCATGCAGACTACCTGGTTGAGGTCCTCGTGGTAACTACAATTGGTGGCTGGAGACTTTGTATGATATTGGCTCGAAAAATTTCGCAATGGCACGGGCTGTTCATTCGTAGTTGTATTCCTGTACAACCTAACTCCTGAAATCTTATACTTTTTCTACATGTAACATTTTCTACTATTGTCGATATTGTTACTACTCCTACTACTCTGGGATTTGTCTTGAAACAATTTTGTCTCACTGTGCTAATGTGGCGTGGCAACTTGAACCGATGCACATGTGTCAGGTTCTACATTGCATATAGTTAAAAATGATCATTGTTTTTTAATCTGATTGAGTTGTTTAGTCATGCATTATAGTTTTTCTCCACCTGGAGTTTGTCTTTTATTGATATGCATATGTTGACAAAGAAACGTCTAATAAGTTTTTTTTTAATTTAGGTTATTATGTGGATAAATTGGGCTTGCAAACAATTTAGGATTGAAGGCCTAAAAGGCGAAAAGTTGTTCAACATGCCTGGGTCTAGCATGTTTGTTCTAACACCAGATGATTGGCGACGTTTAGTTCCCAACGCCAACGTTAACTTCTTAACTCACTTAGAGCTACTTAAACGGTGTCGAAATGTTTGTATGTTTTTATAATTTTGTTCTGTTTTACCGATTTTAAGATTTATTGTACAGTTTATGTATGTATCTAGCATTATAATAGAAAATGACTTAGCTATGATTTACATTTCTTTTTTTCTATACATTCATTTTTTAACTAACATTTTATGTTTCTATTCGGGTTAAGTAGTCACTTGTAATCATCGTCGTAGTACATGGCACAGGTATGTGTCCGTTCAACTGTTCACATCACACCGGGAAATGAAATTAACATGATGAATTACAAAGTATGAAAATATATTAAAACCAGGGAAAGGTAGGAAATAGATCCATTCTGGAAATTGTGACCACTTCTGAGCCTTGTCACATAAGATCATTAACGATTGGTCACAACTAGGTAATCTTCAACCGACACGATTCAGATCAAAACCCAGTGATTTCATGTCCTGGCTTGGCCGCCCGTAGTTTCCCTCCACCTCCCCACTCCAGTCATCATTACACGTCAAGATAGATGGTTGTTGGGCTCATAGTCTCACTAACCGTCTCCCCATTTTTTCACCGTTTGCTACTCTTAACCTCAAGATCTCTCACTTGGTTGTTACACGATATGCTTGCAATGCTGCGAAAACATCTATTATCTAAAACACGCAGCTTACGCATATCTTCTATTTATATGGAATATTTCTCACAGCAATAAGATGATACAACGCTTATTGTCTTTCAGTACATTCATCCTTTGATATACAAACGGATATGTTACCTACCTCACTTGTGATGGAAGTTGTGCCGATATTTCTGCAGACACTAATCCTCCAGGGTTGATAAGACTTCCAAGTGAAGTCATCGACACATTTCGCGTTAATGTATCTAGTTATAAATATTTCAAAATGATTATTGTTAAACTTATACTGTTATTTTTTATTCTTATTTATGTTATAGAGATAAGTTAGTTTCGTATTTCTTATGATGTGTAACACGGATTTCATAGTGACATACACCTCTTTGTTTTAGGTGTTCCTTATTGTCCACAACCCCCACAACAGAGCGCAACCCAATCCCAAAAATTGTACAGACAAATGTCACGATCCCGCTTTCGTAGCTCTAGAAATTTGACGGAAACGAATTCTAGTAGGAGTTTTGGTGGAAGTAAGTATTCACATTATGGAACTTGTTTCAATATCCTATTGCATTCATTATGAGTTTTTCCACTTTAGTAATATGAAATAATCGCGTCTTGGTAAATGGTTCTGTCACCATCTAATAATATCCCGTTCATCATGGTAATATAGAATATTAGAAGGGATATTAGTGAAAATGACTGGCTTATTCACATATAGTTTGAATTAGTCTAGTGGCATAATATTGTACTCATCATCTACACCGCAAATTCTCATTTCACACTACGGCTAAAGCCGTAGAATCTCGTACCATTGATGTATGCTGTCTCCGAAACACTCATACAAGATCGTAGTGTGCTCATTCACTAAACCTCACCTCGTCAAAAGGGAAACCTGACGAGATATACCCTCCGTGTATCTGGCAACCCAATGGCTAGTTCTCATGAAATGGCAAGTGTAGCCACAGCATTAAGTACGAGAGAAGAACAAGCACTATTAGAGTGGATCCCCGTTAACAGTCATCTATGTGCTGTTCGGTCAAACGGCTCCGTAAAACACGGAAGGGTAGGGACACGCGTTGTTGCCTTTTCGTCGTTTCTGCCCACGCTCTCACTGACTGGAGCCTGGATGAAGTGAAAAATGACTCACAGAAAGCTTTCTGAACTTCATCAGAAAGCTAAACGCTCAGACATAGTACTCGTAGTAGGTGGCTTTAATGCCCAAGTAGTTAGCTCAAACCAAACAGAAAGACATTTTGGTGGGTATTACAGTATCCCGGCTCAGAGAACAGATAATGGTGATCGTCTGCCGCAACTGTGCTCAGACAATCGTTTATTTTTAGCAAACCCAAACTTTAAGCATAAGGAGAGACATCGTCTAACATGGCGACCACCTGCACCAAACCAACGATAAACTCAAATAGACCATATTGCCATCGGTCATCGTTGGAGACGCTCGATAGAAGACTGTCGCTCATTCCGGAGTACATGTTTAGACTTCAGTCATGCGTTAATACGCACCTCACTGGACGCAAAAATCGCATTAAGAAGACTCATTAGAGTTGAACTCAGTGATGAGAAAGCCAAAAGTAGATTCCAGGAACATCTGAGGTCACACTTAGGTAGTTCTGAAAATGAGGCTGACCCAGATGTTGCTTGGGAAGATATACAAGCAGCTGTGGAAACAGCAACGACATCTATTAGTGATTTTGACCAAATAATCACGAAAATTCAGTGGATTTCTACTAAGTCTATTGCACTGATAGATTCTCGTAAACTTACCCCATCAGGCTCTGAACACGATGAAAAGTCAGATCTAGATCAACCAAAAGTCTGAGGAACGACCGTGAGCAGTGGTAGGCAATGAAAGCAGAAGATATGGAAAAGGCGGCGGCTGTAGGTAACACCAGACAACTTTTCAGACTAATAAAAGAAATTGGAATTAAGAAGTGAAGTGTAAGCGATCTCAGAAAAAGACGACATTCTTATCTGCTCTCAACCCAGACGTTTAGAACGATGGGCGGAACACTTTAAGGAGCAGTTTAGCTGGCCTTCAGCTACTCTACAACTACCCACCATTCCCAGGAAGCCTGAGTGGAATATTGAAGTAGGTCCCCCGACTCTAGCTGAAGTCCAAAAGGCTACAGCTAATGTGAAACAAGGAAGAGCAGCTGGTCCAGATGAATTTGCTCCAGAGGTATTTAAGGATGTTGATTCAGTTTTAGCGATTACCTAAAATCTGGGAGTTGGACGTATTCCCATCTGACTGGTCGCAATCACTAATTGTCCCTATGATAACCATAGAGGGATTAGTTTAATTATTATAGCATCTAAAATAATGGCCTCAATAATTATCGGGCTCCTAACCAAGACTCATGAACTGCAATCACGAGAAAATCAGGCTGGCTTTAGACCTGGTCGTGGTTGCATCGATCATATATTCACCATTCATCAGGCTCTAGAACACAGACATACTTATCGGCGTCCAAGAATGGCGGTCTTTCTTGACTTAAAAGCAGCATTTGACTCCGTAGACCGCGAGATTCTGTGGCATTGTCTGTCATTGAAAGGCGTACCACAGAAGTACATAAACCTTGTGAAGGCTCTTTACTCGAACACTACTAGTCGAGTCAGAGCTTATGGCGAACTGTCATCTGCTTTTGCAGCCTAACCTCAAGTGGTGTCCGTCAAGGCTGTCCACTTTTTCCATTTTTGTTTAACTTCATCATAGACCTACTGATGGGAATAACGTTCTCGTCGACAGAATTTCCGGGCATCGATCTCCTTCCAGGAGGTCCACTTATCGACTTAGAATACTCAGATGATATAGTCCTGTTTGGTGAAGACTCTGACAAAATGCATAGTGTTTTGATGGCACTGAGCAACAATGCCAGAGTGTTCGTGTTGCCTTTCTGTAGCTATAAATACAAGTTGTTACTTCAAAACTAGATTGCGTCAACACCTGAACTTAGGATAGCGAGTGAAGTAGTCGAACGCGTTGACAACTTCACTTATCTCGGAAATCTAATCAGCCCTAATGGGTTAGTGTCTGACGAAATTTCAGCACGGATTCAGAAAGCTCGTTTGGCTTTTGCCAACTTTCGTCACCGTCTATCAATTAAGGTAGGAGTATACTGCGCTGCAGTTCGTTCTTTTCTACTTTACGGCAGCGAAACATGACCATTAAGAGTAGAAATTTCTCGGAAGTTACTAGTATTTGAATATAGATGTCTCAAAAATATTTCCGGCATCTGCTGGGATCACCTGGTGAGTAATAGTGAGGTTAGACTCAGGATGTTAAGGAATGATGGTAAATCACTTGATGAGGTTGTGAATCTTCACCGAGTGAGATGGTTGGGCCACGTGTTGCGTATGCGTGAACACCGATTACCACAACGCGTAATGCTGAATGTTGTTGGAAACAGCTGGAAGAAAGTTATGGGCGGCCAAACCAAAACCTGGCATCAGTGCTTGAAGTCACTAACTTCTGGTCTAAGCGATGTTGATAGATGCAGACTACTTGGTTGGGGTCCGCGTTACTATTGTAACCAATGGTTGGAGACTTGATAACATGGTTTAGAATCGATCACAATGGCATCGGTGTATGCACTCTTTTTTTTCTTAGACTATGAGATTAAAATCGCTTCATATCTTTCTTGCCGCCAACTAATTCTTTCTGCCTGTACTATATCCTTGTATTCAATCTTTTATATATTACCACCATTGAATTGACTACTTCTATGAATCCGGTGTTCATCTTGCTGTGCTAATGGGGTATGGTAACTGGAACCGATGCATATATGTGCCTGGTCCTACGGCGTAGCTAACTGACAATTCTAAATAATCTATAACTATTAGTTGCAGTAGGGCTCCGTTAATCAGTAATCAATATTATGAAGTTATGTTTGAATGAAATTCGAGATCTAGATTATGTAACTAATTTTAGTTCTTGCCAATGATTTCTGCAGTTATTTTTCTACAAAGTTTGGTTAATACTTTTTCGAACTTAACGTCATGATATATAAGTTAACATGATTTCACAGCACTTCGTTCATGTGTTCTGATCAGAAAACATTCAGGATCGTTGTATAAAGTTTCAGACTAAGTTGTGACATCCTTCAGATTGCGTAGTTGATATTTTACATAATGATTCGATTTGTACTCAACTTTTGTTAATCTGACCCAGTGAAATTCGTAGGAATAAGACATACCCATTATCGTTGCTTTCATTTCATGGAGACTTTATGTAAGGAAGGATCCAAATTAGATCAAAAAGTATTCCTCTTCAACTTTGCCATCGATGACATTCTGGAAACAGCTCTAATGAATGTAAGTAATGGTGGTGTGGATCTGTTGCCTGGAGAAAGACTTCTCGACCTTGAGTATGCGGACGATATTGTCTTACTGTGCGATAATGCCCAAGGCATGCAATCCGCACTTAATCAGTTGGCAATCAGTGTCCGTAGGTATGGTATGTGCTTTGCACCTTCGAAGTGCAAAGTACTTCTACAAGACTGGCAGGATTCTAATCCTGTACTCACCCTGGACGGTGAGCAGATAGACGTAGTTGAGAAGTTCGTGTATCTAGGTAGCTGCATAAGTGCTGGTGGGGGTGTGAGTGATGAGATCAATGCACGAATAGTGAAAGCCAGAGCGGCTTATGCCAATCTGGGCCACCTTTGGCGCCTTCGTGATGTTAGTCTAGCTGTAAAAGGTCGGATCTACAACGCGTCGGTGAGAGCAGTTTTGCTCTATGCTTGTGAAACCTGGCCTCTCCGAGTTGAGGACGTTAGACGACTCTCTGTGTTCGATCATCACTGTCTCCGAAGGATTGCTGACATTCAGTGGCAACACCATGTCAGTAATGCAGAGGTTCGGCATCGTGTGTTCGGGCACAGAGATGATAATTCAATTGGTGTCACCATCTTGAAACACCGACTTCGGTGGCTTGGACATGTTCTCCGAATGTCGTCCCAGAGAATTCCACGTCGTGCATTATTTGCCGACTCTGGGACTGGTTGGAAGAAGCGGAGAGGTGGTCAGTGCATGACATGGTGTCGTGGCATGAAAGAAAGCTGCAAAGGACTGGCTTGTGTTGGTCCTTCACGACTCCCTGGCTGGGGTCCGAGAGATGGTGCTACACAGTGGCTAGAGACGTTATCAGATATGGCTCAGAATAGAAGCCAGTGGCGATCCTGCTGTAACCTTCTTTTACTTTCTTCATAAAAAGTGGTTGTGTCTCCTTTACCTGAAAGATGTCTTCTGTTTGTACCTCTTCGTCATTACTCTCTTTTTCTTTTGCGTTCCTCAGTTTTTTCTTTTTCTTTTTACTTCTCTTCGAATTCCCATTGTTTTGTGTGGCGCATATATATTGGCGCTCTCTTGTACCAATATTTATGTGTTCAAATAAAATAAAAAAAAAGGGTTTCTGTAAACTTTCAAACTAATGAGGTGTGTTATGACAAGATGTTTTCAGTCAAGCTTAAACCTCATAGTTGCTTTTCTAAAAATAAGAGTATTTATAACAATTAATATAAATACGTGACTTCATTACGTTGGATTTTAGTCTGTCAGCCTCACAGTGTATGGTGTCATCTAGACTAGCTTAGCTGCTGCATAGCATTTACTCGAAATTTTAAATCTTTATTTGTAATTACACAGAACAGCAGTAATGTGTATCTAGCAGTGGCTTAGTAGTTAAAACGTTCAAATCTCAGCAACTAAGTCCAAAGGTTGTACTCCATTCCATCTACTTCGGTTCTGACAACCGGGTAGTATCATTATCCCTCACACTTAAAGTGGCTAATACAAGTACCTGGTAAATGAGTTGGTTTATAGTTAGCTATTTTCCTCATCACCCTGTTTGTGGAAAGTTGATCATCATTATCACATTTTCTTCAAGTTTTCAAGCTTCTAATATATAGCTCATTTATTGGTATTAAAATTTTGGGTTTACGTCAAAAGTGTGGTTTATTCGATACTTACTTTTCTGTATCAGTTCATTTAATTGTTTGTTGATCACAAAGGTATTGTATTTGCGCCGTCGTACTCGGGAGCCTTAAATTCCTACGATATGAATAATTCTAACCCACGAATGATGTGTTCAAAACCAGTGTTTTTGTCATGTAATGATTCAAATGGTCACGTTCCAACATCCAGTACAGTTACATTAATGAACGAAACGACTGCTAATCAGAACTCATCCAACTACACAAATAACGGGGTATGCGAGTCTTCTTCAGGTGGTGGTCAGTTAATTCATGTAAGTTTTTTAATGTCCTTATTTTTGTGGACTTTTGGGTAATTATCTCAATCTTGTTATTCAAAACCCATGACTTGTTATTTTTATCATATATTAGCAAAAATAAATAGATGTGTTTTACGTATTGATTAGAAAGCAATTACATTCAAATTGTATATGACAGCCAATAACATCATAATGGTCGAAAATGCTGGTCAAGCAATCTTTCCTTACAACTTTTGTGAAACACTTAGTCTTTAAACTGCACATGAACGTGTATATATCTTTGTTTTTCAGCAAATGGCAAATGAAAAGTTCAATAACAGACTAATTATCAATCTATTAGTCCAGTTCCACTTATCAAGAAACTTTCATCTAAAAATATACTAGCGTTTGTTAAGTAGCAGATCTTAACTGAACATCATAACTATATATAGTAATTCCTAAATAAATTAAAGAGTTCCTTTAAATTTACACTTTCGATAGCTTAGCTATGATTTTTAGGCAGTGACTTTGCTTCTAGCCATCAAACGATGGTTTAGTATAATGAATATAATATCAACTGTGATCACCATATTTCTTTGTCTTTGTATATGAAAAATAGGGCTAATAAGGTCGAATGCGATAAGTGATTGTCCAGTATTGTAGGAGAGGTCAAAGTATTTTTTAAAATTTTGTAATATCTATATTCCTTTTACGGTTAGTCTAAACTTAAACTTTACGGCGCTGGTGTTATTAGTTTTATTAAGACTACTGCGAAGGCACAGGATATCATTTTTAGACGAGTTCATCATAGTTGATATGACACTCATGAATTCCACTCTGTTTAATGTTTCAAAATTCAGTTATATTCGATTAATATCATTAATCAAATAGTTTCTTTTTTTAACTTTACAGGGTGCATTTTTATTAGCTCAAAATGGTAACACTCTTCAACAAGGAATTTCTAATTCTCAATCATCTGCAGCTGGTCAAGTTCAACTGTGGCAGTTTTTACTTGAACTACTTACAGATTGGAGATACCGTGAAGCTATACACTGGATTAGCGATGATGGTGAATTTAAATTAAGTAATCCTGAACAAGTAGCTGCAATGTGGGGTCATCGAAAAAACAAACCTGCTATGAATTACGAGAAGTTATCTCGAGCATTACGATATTATTATGATGGTGATATGATTTCAAAGGTATCGATTAAAATAGTAACGCTTTTTCAAGTGATTTAAACTTTTATGCCTGAAATTTATCTTGATCCCCAGATAAAATAATGTCTTTAAATGTGCGTTCTTAGTTTTAACTGACTGTTCAATTATTATATAAATCTATCTCCCAAGCTGTAGTAAATAAAACATGATTAAATGTTTAAACTATCAGTTCACGAAGACGCATATTTAGTTGCCATTTGTCTTCATATTTTTACTTCAATTGTTTAATTGGGTTCTTATGAATTACGTTTTTATCATAATTTTGAAACTTCTTGTTTTTGTATTTAATTCGATGGGCCGTAAGTCGTATTTTGTTTGCCTTTGTAGATATTAGGACTTTCCACTTGGAAAGTTTTGCGTAGTTTGCAAGTGACGACTAGTTTTAGTGACTTAAACTAGTAGTGCATCAAGTGTTATCATTTTTTCTTGGATTTTTCTGTATTGTAATCAGATTTTCTCTCATATTATATTTGATACATCAAAATGATCGACAATTTAAAAAATCCCATAATTATGTGTACTAGAAAAATTTAGGAGTGCTAAAAGTAAATGGATAGCTGAATCAGTGCTATGGTTTTGTATGATCCTGGAGTAATAATACAAACGTATCATTCATATCCCTCGGTCTTCCTGTGATGTATTCGTGGTTCGTTACAACTAGTCTACAACCAAATTGTCCATTAAAATTTACGTACATCAACTGGCCCTTTACATGAATAAACCTCTATGCTCTTTGGATGTAATATTCTTCATTTGTTTTAGGTAGAAATAAAGTAGTTGTCAGTTTTGTATAGAAAGAAATACATATTCTGTACACTTTGTATCCTACATCGCAATCTTGATTATATTGAAACAATAGACATTTATTTGGACGATATGTCTAAATATTGGAAACTTTTAATCACTTTATGTTCAAGCGGTTTCGGGCGTTCATCTATTGACGATACTACAATATCATTGAAAGTTTTGTGTACTGATAACAAAGTAACTGTATAAACACATTTTAGAGTCTGGCTTCTGTCTGTTATTGCAACGATGTGAATCATATTTCTGTTATATTTGTACTTAACCACCCTAATTTTTGTTTTACCCTTTAGGTTCATGGAAAACGTTTCGTTTACAAATTCATTTGTGATTTAAAGACTCTACTTGGTTTTTCAGCTGGCGAGCTATATATGTTAGTGAAAAATTGTGCTGAAAGGCATTCACATCGAGGGAAAAAGCGGCGTTTGACTACAGGATCTACATACTCTCCAGTAAACAATCATACACTGTCTACATTTCCTATAGACGATAGGACTGTGTTCCCAATACCCGCAGAACATCCTCGTCCAATTAATTTTTTAAACCGGTCTGTACAGAGCAATGTAACCCCTGGTTACTGCCTCGATATCGTCACACCTTCAGATCCCCTTTCTTATAATGTTCCGTTCTCACCTACATACCGTATCAGACAACCGGTCAAATTGGAAAATGGAGTAAACAGTAATACACTAGAACAACACTCTAGTAGTTCATTAGTCCGTCAGTCATTCCAGCGAAAAAGATTTTTGGGTTTACAGCCAACTACCGTAAATACTGACAATATTGTTTTTGAAGATGACTCTATTCATAATAATGCTTCTGACTCTGAGCATCATGAAAACGATCGATCACGTGCCCCCACCAGTCCTTGGAGGCTGCGACGACGCTGGTGGGCTCGCAATCCTTTGTCTGGTGTTTCACCACTTGGCTCTCCTCCTTACTCATCTCCTTCATACACTGAACGTTTATCTTCTGATTCTGCTCGACAACGAGACGATGTTTCTGATCGCTTCAACGGTTCATGCTCATCGATAGCTGGTGCAAGTTCTCAGTTCAGCCATTCACAGTTCACAGTTGACGAGGACTGGGTTGCCGCCGCAGCGTTAACGGAGGATATGGCAAATGAATCGTCCATGAATTCCTCCACTTCGATCAATAGTTCATTTCGATCTAATGGAATTTCTCTTCCCCAACCTCCCACTCCTAATACTACTGTAACTGGCTTTGATGAAGGAGAGATAGCTTCCGCCGCTGCTTCATTATTCAGTCAATCAAGCCAATCAGAACCTCCCTTAGTAGTGAATCAAACGAATACCGTTCCCAAAAAGAGAAAGCTATCTTCTAACTTATCTGATTATCGCTGTGAAACGAAAGAGGTTAGAGATGATTCTCTTATCGAAGATACCGTATACGGTTCTCGGTTAAGTCATTTAGGTAGTACCAAGTATATCTCTAATAACCGGTCATCTATGCGTAACTATGGTCCTGTTTTATTATCTAGTTATAGTCAAGGCATAGATATCGATGCCTTTTTAGCTCATTGATGTATGATATGTATATGGAGCTTTTTACAGCTACTTAATGCTAGTTTATATCAAAACTTGTACATTTATTCATCAATAGGTGCCTTCCGATTTGTTTTGCGGAAGAATTCAGATGAAATTTCATTCATTATTTTCCTTCAATGGCCTTTCTATTTTCTGTTATGTTTTTTCTCCGAAAATTTATTTGCTCAGGATTCTGCTTACTTGTATGAAATTATATATATATATATATATATATATATATATATATATATATATATATATATATATATATATATATATACTATTATGTTTTTGCATATGTACAGTATATTATAATCCTCTCGAATCCGTGAAACATTTCACAGTCAAAGTATTAATATCCTTTCTTTACATCTCCATAACGACCGATTTTAGTTGCTCATGTACAAAAGCATGTGTCACTGATGCAACAAATGATTCTGGTGTTAATTAACAACTTCAAATGTATACATAGCATTTCTGTTATAATAGAAATTGTATATGTTTTTTATATATTTGATTTAATATCTCTGATTCAAATTGTGTCAACATTCCATTTACATTAATCACTAAATTCATTCATATGTGAGGAAAAAAGCAAAAGCAATGGTTATTGTAAGTGATCATAGATTTTCTAATATTTCACTACTATATTATTGTTTAGTTTTATTGGGAAGTTTTCACAACATTTGCATTTCAAATAACATTAAAATACATAGATAGTGTTTTATAAATTTCTCCTACCTTGACCTCCTTGTCCGTACATATATTCTTGTTGTTAATTTCTGTAAATTTTACTGGCTAATAAATGCTACTCACATTTCCTAAATAGAACTATTTTGTACATTCTTTTTTTAGTACGGAGAAGATTCATTTTTATATATTTATACAAGCGTGCTTTATTTAACATTATTATTACTATTATTATTGTTCAATTCAATTTACTAACTTGTTTGTTTTGTTTTGTTTTGTGCATTAGTAAAACTAATTTGCATTTAGGTTATGATGTAATTATCCTTTTATCCATACACTCTAGATTTTACTTATATTAAGACCATTAAACGCGTAATCAAGTGTACTAATAGCACCCGTCGGCTAGAATTTCTACGGAGTTTTGATTATAATACGTAGTTATTGTTTTGCTTGTAGACGGTTATACTGTACTGTACCGTGTTGTACTGTTTTAAATAGCCAAATGAATAACATATTTATCACATCTTACTAGATTCTTGCGTATATATATATATATATATATATATATATATATATATATGAATAATGAACATGAAATCACTACTAAAAGTGTAAGGGAAGTAGTTTTCTATGATATATGAATGAGTTGGTCTCTAATATTTAACATCATATTCAAAGACTACACTTCAAATCATTTACTTGGATAATAGGTAACTAAGTTCTAAGCTTATTTCTAAACAGGCAATCGAAATATTTATAGGACAATTTTTTAGGATTCGAATTCCAACTGTTTGTGTGGTGGTGTGGATCTCGTTAAACCCACCTGATGTGGACCGGTGGGTTGTATCCTTGCCTTTCATTATATGTTTGGCTCAAAGTTGAGTGCACTAGACTTGAACTTATTTTTTGAATTTTATTATTTGTCCCAACGAGTGTCGGGGAGTTAGAAATTGAATGCATTCTGTTTAAGCATATACTAGAGTTATAGTTGGTTATGTCCCACTAGACTCAAAACGGGAACATGAAATCTGTTAAAAATCACTCGCAGTAATAATGCTTTTTGAGAATTAAGTCTATTTTAAAGTTTTCGGTTAGTTACACTGCTTCACACAAGTTCTTAAATATTTCGTTATCTTTGGTTTTACACAACCATCTAAAATTGTAAGCAAAACCTTAAATGTGTATTTGTAGGTTGAAGAATCAATTATTAACATGACTTTTCCCATTATTGAAGCCTGACGTAAAAAAGCCAAACCTTGTTATTTCGAAATTAACAAAGTTTCTGTTGTATCGTCAAACAAATAGAAAATAAGAATAAATAATAGATCAGAATATTGTAACAACTAACTTTTCATTCAATTTATTCACTAACTGATCCTATGAAGGATGTAAAGGACAAGAAACATTTGAAAATAAACCACATTGTTTTCTTGTTATTTACTATTGATATTCATTACAATTAATTAACATGATATGCTATTTTCAATTCATGAAGTACATAAGAGGGGATAAGATGCATGTCCGTGAATTTGTAGCACATCTATTCCTCAATGTCCTCAACTTTCCCATTGATCTTGAGAGTTCATTCTACATATATGAGCATAATTTTCAGTGGGTATTTCATTTTAAATTTCAACTTTTATTTTAATTACATTTTCCGTCATTTTGTGATTCGCTACAGTGTCGTGTTCGTATGAGACATATGTATATAGTTTTAGATGGTTGACGTGAAATCCGTAGTGAAAGATATATATATTTAGCGCCAACCCATTCTATACTGTAATTTTATTAAACATTGAAAAAGATGATCATTTTCACAACACTAGAGTAGTATCTAATCTTAAGTAGTTCATAAGATATTCAAGCAGGAAGTTCAAACCATAGATGAGATTCTTAGGCCATGTACCCAATAGATAGTCTATAAAAGCCAAATAATGTTTATTTGGAAATAATATACCAAGTAGGGTTCTCAAGTTGTCTATTAGGGAGTGGATAAAAACTTTAACATATTTTATGAACTAAGGCAAAGTCGAGCTTTTTTGCCAATCCTGTCATGATTTAATCCATACAAATATGGAAAGCAAATTGATGTTAAAAGTACAATACAGTTTTCTTAAAGTTCGAAATGAGGATCACGAACCTTTTACTTTTCAATATCAGGTGTTTAGAAGTCGATCGCACCATCAGGAGAACAGTTAATAAATAAGCTGGGACCTCAGAAATAGGATGAGACTAAAATTATGCAAAGTATTACCAATTAAAACGACGAACGAACTATTTATGTAAATAATTACACAAATAATAATTGAAGATGAATAAAGTTATGGAGAATTGGTTACACGAAGAGAAAAGTAGTCAGTAAAAGGATATGAAAATACGTCAGTTTAGGAGGGTAGTCAGATGGAATATACGAGTCATAACAACAGATTTTATACTTACGCCATTGGAAAAAATGCTTGGATATACTCAGTATACATGTTAAAATTAAGTAATACGTTGTAAAACAGGATGAAGTTGAAAGATGAATTCTAGCATCTGATAAATAATGCCAGTGCATACTTAAGATATATATATTTATGTTTCTCGATTTTCAGCAGTTCTCTATCTTCGCATTTTGTACTGGCTATGCAAAACATGTTCATATGTTTAGATACAATAAAAATTAGAGATCAGTTATTTTAGTAATTAATTTGTAATAAACGAAACTTACAAGGCATCTACAGATACAGATTTGTTAAAAATGTGTTAAGTGGCATGCAAATCACACTTCATGTCTTTTGGGTTTAGAAATCTCCCTCTGATATATAAGCGTAACAATGAAGAATTAAGCAGGAAACAAAAAATTTAGTAAGCTATTTCAGAAAGAAGAAAGGACGGAAAAACAGTGGAAAGTAGTTTGTAATAAAATGCTAAGAATGTAATAATAATAATAGTTACAAATCAAGTTCCAAAAACTATGAAAGAGTTAAGGAGATTTGTTATAAGTAAATACTGTCTAGACATTAATGATTCCAGAAAAGAAGCCTATGTTTTGTCTATGGATTAAGCTGACGCACAGTAACTTCACAGATGGTATCACTTGTTCAACAGTGTTCTCTTCAAACTAACTTTGTATTGTTTACTTGAATCTTTCCATTGATGTTTGGGACCACAATTGATCAGTCTGTTATTGGCACATATGCATACTTTGAGTATTGCCTTAATTCACAAGTATTTTAAGCACAGATGGATTTATTTATTTAAACACAAATATTGGTACCAATGGGGCACCGAATATGTATGCGCCACACAAGTCTCTTGATTTGTGTTTGGGCTGTGATACTGCCCGGGTGTCCGAACCGAAGCAGGTGATTTCCTTAGGGGGCCACGTGGAGCTGACTTTCTCCACCCCCGGCCGTACAAGAGTATTTGGGGGGCCGAGGTGACGTTGTGGTGAACGAGGTCCTTCCGACCGACTGGTTAAGCATAGGAATCCAGGATACGCGTTTCGTCCTATTTGGGACTCTTACGCTGGATGCGATTGCATCCGAGTTGATGTTCACTCCGGGACTCGAACCCAGTGCCGTCCGCTTTAAACGCCATCACGTTATCCACTTAGTTACTGAGTCTCTTCTCGTTATACATAATTCAGTAAAGTGAATTCGATTAATAGTTAACTGGTGAGGCATATTTTTGGGCTCAAGGAAAGTTGTACTGAAAAAATGTTATCAAGAGGTGCATTAAAAGGTAAAGATAAAAGTTTGTTTGTTTTATGAATAACTTTAATGATATCATTTCAACTAGTGTATGCTATTTTGTTGTAGCTGTTTTCAATATACCTATTATGAATGGTGTGGCTTGGTACATTCATTAGTCTCTAAGCGGATCCTATTTTGATGTTAGTTTTATTTATTTATTTGGACACATGAATATTGGTACAAGAGAGCGCCAATATATATGCGTCACACAAAACAATGAAAATTCGAGAGGAATACAAAGAAAGAAAAAAAAGCTAAGGAGCGCAACAAAAAAAGAGAGAACAATAACGAAGAGATTGGTGTAAGGTAATGTGCTAGTAATCAGGGAACGCAAGGTTACAATCGGAAGAAATCTTTCTTGTAAGGGAGACAGAACCACTTTTTATGAAGAAAGTAAAAGAAGGTTACAGCAGGATCGCCACTGGCTTCTATTCTGAGCCATATCTGATAACGTCTCTAGCCACTGTGTAGCACCATCTCTCAGACCCCAGACAGGGAGTCGTGAAGGACCAACACACGCCAGTCCTTTGCAGCTTTCTTTCATGCCACGACACCATGTCATGCACTGACTACCTCTCCACTTCTTCCAACCAGTCCCAGAGTCGGCAAATAATGCACGACGTGGAATTCTCTGGGACGACATTCGGAGAACATGTCCAAGCCACCGAAGTCGGTGTTTCAAGATGGTGACACCAATTGAATTATCATCTCTGTGCCCGAACACACGATGCCGAAGCTCTGCATTACCAACATGGTGTTGCCACTGAATGTCAG